TCTTTGTAATCAACAAAAAGAGAATGGATATTCTAGAGAAGGAGCTAGAAAACATTGGTGTCCCATTTAAGTTTTTCCAAGTACAGTGTGAGAATGGGTCATGTCTCAAACACAGTGGACTAGACTGGATGGTAGGAATGCTCATTGCTAAGTTATCAGTTTTCTATATACACAAAGAAAGTTGAAGTTAACTTTGAGATTTTCATGTATTAGAGTTATTTTCATTACTTTACGTATCACAGCGCAATGGTAAGCCATAACTAATACTGATATCAATGAAGATATTAACAATAACAACAATATATTATCTCAGGTAAAGACTTCGGAGCAATCCTACACAAACTGGATCATAAAACAATCTTTGAGGGGACAAGTCATCAAAGAATGACTTAAAGAGATGTGAAGAAATTATGGAAAGTAAACTTTTTCTTGTATTAATTTGGCCACTCTGATCAGGGAGTTAAATTTAAGTCAATATCTAAGGGGCATGACTACAATGAATTATATTAAAAGATATAGTCATCTACATACTTGCTAACTTTATTGATAAAATAGGGTTTCAGTGATGTGGTGGTAGCACCGGACTCGGAACCAGGCCAAGAAAGCTACAAAACACCAGAACAGTTCAAGGACCATGCAAGGAAATGGGCGAGACTCTTTTGAATGGTACACCATGATGAGGTAACTGCATTTTTTGAAAGTATTGCTTTGTTGAGATAAAATAAAAACGTAGAGTTGAGATTCTTGGCAATATAATTCAACATTGATCTTTTCTCAGCATATAGACAATTGAACAAAACCCAGGCAAAAATTAATCTCTGATATAATAACACTGAAACCGCTAAATTGAATACAAGGTACTTACCATTATATATTTTTCTCCAATTTTTTCCTTTTAGGATGTGACTCCATATATACATGGTAATATCCATTTCTCCGTTGTGATGATAATTTAAATGATTTCCAATCCTAACAGTAATTATAAAAGAACTTATTAAACCCCCATGAAAAATCTATTTTGTTTTGCTTCAGCTCTAGTCTATCATGTCCC